GCAAGCACGCTCCAGCAGGCAGGTGTGGAAAGAGTCGCGATCTCAGGAACAATAGAACGGGCCAATGGGGACAGCGAACGGACGGCGCGCGTCAATCTGGGTGTGGCCGAGGTATGCAGGAACAATGGTGGCATTACATAGATAACAACAACATAGGGCTGTGCTACCTCAGTCCTGACGGAGTACATCTAAACAAAAATGGAACGATTCTGTTTGCAAAGAACTTGATTGCTTATATAAGAGGGGATAATATAAGACTGCGCACAGGAACATCTTATGCCGACGCTCTGAGGGCCGAACCAACTCAGGTTTTTCAGGGGCGATGGAGTCAACGGTGGAAGTACCGAACACCAGAACAGATAAGACTCCTGAGATTAGCTCAGCAATTTTAACTCTAGACTTTCCTTGTAGCAATGATGTACAACAGGACTCAATATCTCCTTCCCTCTGTAATAACGATAACAGACTTAAAGTGATTTCATGGAATGTACATGGACTTAAAAACAAACTCCTAGACGATGACTTTGTTAGCTTCCTAAAAGAATACGACATCATGGGTTTACAAGAGACATGGGGTAACGATAATGATGATTTCACTGTTGATGGTTTTGTTGTTTACACGAGTAACAGGATTAGAAGCAAACGTGCCATTAGAAATTCAGGGGGTATAGTCTTATATGTAAGAGAGGAAATTAATGAAGGGGTAAAACGCCTTCCCAGCAAATCAAAGAACATTATTTGGTGCGTGTTAGACAAAAACTTCTTCAAATGGAACGTGAGTTTACTAATCGGTACAGTTTATGTTTCTCCTACGGGATCTCCCATTCACGACACTGAAGACTTATTTCAAACTGTAGAAATAGAACTGGCACAGCACATGGGAAATTTAGATGACTGCGATCATATATTAATGGGAGATTTCAACGCACGAATAGGAAACTTGCGTGATTACGTAGATGAAACAGAGGATGACGACAGATTTTATCCCTCTCCCAACAAATTATACATCTGATATTGCTCTACCTCACAGGACTTCACAAGATATGTATATAAACAGTTTTGGACAGAATATGATTAGCTTGTGTAGGGCTACAAATTTAAAGATTGCGAACGGTCGGCTGTTCGCCGACAAAGATATTGGTAGCTTCACTTGTTTTCAAAATGTTACTCGGGCCACTGAGGGAACTCCAGGGAAAAGTGTCGTGGATTACCTGTTATTGAATAACAACATGTTCGATAAGGTTACAGATTTTAGGGCATTAACTAGGGTTGAGTCAGACCATCTACCACTTGTTTTCACGCTGCAGACCAACACTTTATCCCCACCTTTGACAGAGCCTACCCTACATCCAAACCCCACGTTAACCCAGTACAGGTGGAACCCTGACAGAGTGCAGGATTTTAGAAACGCACTACAGGGGGGAAGCGGTACAAACGTTATTGAGGGAAGTAGAGGCAGACTTAGAAAGAAATGAAATAGATTTAGCTGTGGAAAAAATTGGACAAATGATGGAAACAGCTGCTGAAACCATGAGACTAAATTCAGTTAAATCAGTAAAATCAAATTTATCTGACAATAAATGTTGGTTTGATAAAGACTGCAAACTCGCGAAACACAAAACAAGTAAATGGCTTCACAAGTTTAGGAGAGAACGAAATGTCCTAAACTGGAAACAGTTCAAGCAAGCTAAAATGGAGTACAAGGCCTTACTCAGAATAAAATGTAGAGATCATTCAGCGAGGCTTAGGAACCAGCTAAGAAATTTACATAAGGACCCAAAAGAATTTTGGAAACTTGTAAAAGGTAAAAAAGTAAGTACAATTGGTAATATAAGTGCTCAGGACTTCGCAAAGTTTTTTGAGGAACTTTACGCAGGTGGTATATCGAACGAGGAAGTCATAAACACTCCGGATCCACTACATGACACGGATTGTGTCAATGACAACTTGGACAGAGAAATAACGGAAGAAGAGATTGCACATTGCATTAGGAATCTAAAGCCTGGCAAGTCACCAGGAATAGATAAGCTGTTACCAGAATTTTTTCGCGAGAGTATTTCGACGTTTTTGCCGTATTTAAAGTTATTATTCAACAAATGTTTTACCTTAGGTGTATTTCCAAAGCAATGGACAACTGGGATTATACACCCGCTATTCAAATCAGGTTTGAAAGACAAAGTTCAGAACTATAGAAGTATAACTCTACTTTCGGTCTTTGGCAAAATTTTCTTATCGGTCCTAGAAAAACGGATTAACAATTGGATGCAAGACGAAGAGAAGTTCTCTGAGTCGCAAATGGGTTTTAGAAAAAACTACGGAGTGATGGATAATTTGTTCTGCCTAAATGCATTAACGCAAAAGTACCTTACAAAACCCAGAGGGCGTTTTTACGTCGCCTTCGTCGACTTTTCCAAAGCATTTGATAGTATTCATAGGGCGCATTTGTGGTTTAAGTTGGCAAGAGGAGGTATTAGCAAAAAGGTTTTCAGCGTAATCCAAGCTCTATATGAAGATATTAAATCCTGTGTGAGAGTTAGAGATGAAATAAGTGAGACTTTCAGATGTCATAAGGGAGTAAGACAGGGATGCATTTTATCCCCTTTTTTATTTGCGTTCTATATAAGTGATTTAAACAAACATCTGGAAGAAAATGGATGTAGAGGAATCCAGGTGGGGGACTCGGAAATTCTGAGTTTAATGTTTGCAGACGATTTAGCACTATGCGCAGACTCCGTAGTGGGTCGTACAGCGGGTTTTAAATGCACTGAACTCTTACTGCCAAAAATGGAAACTAACAGTAAATCAGGAGAAGACTAAGGTCATGGTCTTCCGAAAGGGAGGTAAGCTGAGGAAAAGCGAGAAGTGGTTTATGCGGGGGTCAGATTAGAAGTGGTAAACACTTATAAATATTTAGGGATAACAGTATCGTCAAGTGGTGGATGGTTTAGGGCCCAAGAGACATTAGCTGCTCAGGCGTCTAAGGCTTTATTCTTGTTGAAAAGAATCTTGCTAAATTTGGTGTGTTACCCCCAGATTTGACGTTTAAATTGTTTGACACACTGATCCTTCCGATCATGATGTATTGCTGTGAACTATGGGGATTTCATAAAGCTAATCAACTAGAAATTCTACACACCAAATTTTGCAAATTTTTCCTAGGTGTCAGGCAATCTACACCTAATACGGCAGTGAGAGGGGAGCTCGGTAGACACCCCCTCTGTGTTCTGAGACGAATAAGAATTGTGAAATTTTGGTTGAAATTACTAGAAATTAGTGAGACTAGATATTCTAAAAAATGTTACAATATGTTACTTGAATTGCAGCAAGTGGGCAGGGGAGACTGGGTGAGTAACGTACGCGATCTGTTGCTCAGTGTTGGCCTGGGTGAGGCGTGGCTCCAACAAAGTGTGGGAAACAAAGAAACATTTCTTGGGATTCTCAAAAAGCGATTAACAAAACAGGCAATTGATTGTTGGGAAAGTGATGTCGCAGCCAGTCACCGCCTGGCCACCTACAGCATGGTAAAAACCAGATTTGTCGTCGAAAGTTATCTTACAGTAATAAATAATCCTCACCACAGACACGCGATTGCGCGGCTTAGATGACTCGGCGCATACATTGAATATAGAAAAGGGAAGACATACGAAAACAGAAAAAAGGGATAGATTATGTCAATTATGTGGTGAAGGGGTCATAGAAGATGAATATCACTTTGTACTTGAATGTCCTTTTTATAACAAGCTAAGGAAGCGACTACTTCCAGATTTTTATGCACAGAGCCCTGATCCCCACAAATTTGTAGCTTTGTTGGCCGGCCCAACTGTTTCTCTTACAAGACAGTTGGGGAAGTATCTGTACACTGCATTTGAATCAAGATATAATTTCCTTAAATGATAGTTAAGTAGACATCCTTGTAAATTGGTTTTATATTCTGGTCTTGCTTAGTATTTTGTATTTGTTTGTACAGATGTTTTTATGAAATGTATTGTTTTAACGTAATTGGTGTATTTAGTGTAATGTCTCTTGTTATGTACATTGTATTGATTAATTGTAATTTTAAAACTGTATTGCTGTAGCCCAAGGTGGCCAAAAGCAAAGAAATAAAGTTCAAAGTTCAAGTTCAAAGTAAAGAGTAGGGGACTGTCCCGGTGTGCACCGAATTCGAAACAGACGTGAACACGTTGTCGGTTATTGGTAGACGTTTGGCGAAAAAATGAGTGATAAATGCCGTCTTTACGTGTTTAAAAAACTTATTTAGAAATCATAATCATGTATTTTCCACCTGATACCACCATCTTCTTGCCACCAGCTTTTTACCCAAAATGTAATATTTAAAAGAGATTACCGCTACTTGCTTTTTGTCCGTTTCTTTACGCCCACAATAATGGTCTGGCTGCTAAGCTGCCAGAAGATCACGTGG